CTTTTGCAAATCAAGGCTTCATGCCCGTAACACAACAAGTCCTGAAACTACACTGTGTGCTATGGTAGGCCTGGCCAGGGTTGGGTGCCAAGTTCTCTAGGAAAAAATTGGCTACCACTTTGGGCAAGGAGGGATTGAGATGTTTGTAGTTGCTTTGGGAATTTCAGTTGGCTGTGGCTCTAAATGGTGATGATGAGGTTTGAGGGACAGAAAGGAAGAAAGTGAATTCATAGAAGACCCGTACAGATTATCTGCATCCAGAGCCGTTGGAAACAGATTATCTTTCAGTGATATTTTAAGCTCTTTATGAGTATATTTTTCTTTATTACTCCTCATGGCAGGTGTAACCAGAAATAGTGTGTGTACCATAAAAATGGAGGTAATGAATTATCAGCAACAAAAAATAGTTCTAATAGGGTATGAATCATATAAAATAGATTGCATAGGCAGATACCAAATTTATTTAAATTAGGAGTGGCTACTGGGCTTGGAATTACTGTGTTTAATTTGTTGGTTGGTTAATTTATTTAGTTACTTAGTGAAGTAATTCTCTCTCTCTCTCTCTCTCTCTCACACACACACATACACACACACCAGTCACTTTCTGACTCTGAGTGGAGGAGTTGGCCACTCTAGGAGTGGCCTAGAGTCAGGTCCGTCCTTCCCACACTCTGCTAGCCTGTCTCCCTTTTAACTTCCTCTGAGTCTAGGTACCATTTATGGGAGCTACTGGAAAAATACAGTTCCGTGGCCTGGGAGGATCCTTGTATTCATATGTGCTCATATAGAAGATAACAGAAAACAAATCTCTCTGAAAAGTGGGGCACAGGGAGGGTTATAAGTGGAGAAAGGGAGTCAGAACATGGAAGAACACACATGTGGGGTCTTCAGTGGATATTAGGGGCCCATTCTTGGCATGGAATGATAGGTTGGATGGGCTAGGACAGTGGGGCTGGGGCCAGTGTCACCCAAACCACAGGGGAGAGAAACTTAGTAGCATTAGGGGAGGCTGAAGCTGAAAAGAAAACAGTAAATATTCTTTCAACCTCAGTCTACTGCTTTTCTGAAAAAAAATTACATCATTTTTCTAATTTTTTTAAAATTGACAAATAATAATTACACATATTCATGGGTACATAGTGACGTTTCAATATATATAATGTATAGTGATCAGATCAGGGTAATGAGCATATCCAACATCTCATACATTTATCATTTCTTTGTGTTAGGAACATTCAATGGCCTTCTAGCTATTTGCAATTATATATTATTGTTAAGTGTAGTCATCCGATACTTAGGAACACTAGAATTTATCCCTCCTATCTAGCCGTGATTTTATATCCGTTAACAAATCTCTCCCTGTCCCTCCCTCC